ACATCTATAACATTTTTTTTTAATGCAGTCTTTTTTTTTGTTTCCTACAGTTTAAGCGAATAATATCAGAATTTTAACGGAGTCAACCGAGACAAAATTATAATTTTTACAGAGTTAGATACAAAGGAGTCAGAAGAAACAAAAGAATATAGTACAAAGAAATTATGATGTTTCACGTGGATCTGGTGGTTTTTTTTTCTTTTTCTTTTTATCATTGGATTCCAAATTCCAAATTATTTTCTTGGTCTATTTAATTTGGAATTGATGCTATATCGAGAAAATTAAGTAATTTTTTAATCAAAAACCATCGGTTTTTTTTTTTTTTTAACATATCGTAAATGTCGGAAGCCGACGACAACATGAAAAAAACCGGTTCAATAAACGTGACCAATATACCCTTTCTTACTTCGACACTTGAACGCATTTTTGGCTTCACTCTCTCTATAAACCTAAAACCCAATTTTTGCCTAATTAAATCACATAACAATACAGTAAAGTAAGAAAAAATGGCGGAGGAATCTAAATCCACCACTCTCGCTTCACCGGAAAACCAACCACCGTCGGCTCCGATAGAACCAAACTCTACTCAAGAAGTCTTGCCGACAGAGACGAAGACTGATCCTCCGGCGGATACAACCTCCAAGCCGGAAGAAGAAACCACGGCGGTTCAGACTGAGGTAACCCCGGAAGAGCATCAGCCACCGACAGTGACGGAGACGGAAACGGCGTCGACGGAGAAGAAAGAGGTCGGACACGAAACGTCGCAGAAAGAAGAAGCAGCCGAAGAACAAAAGCGAATTCCACAGAATCTTGGTTCGTTCAAAGAAGAAAGCAGCAAACTTTCCGATCTATCAAATTCAGAGAAGAAATCTTTAGATGAGTTTAAGCATCTTGTTCGAGACGCTCTCGACAATCACCAATTCGGTTCAATCCCTAAACCGGAAAACACAACAAACACACCGGAACAAATCACGATCTGGGGAGTACCTCTGCTCGAGGACGATAGAAGCGACGTCGTTTTGCTGAAGTTCCTAAGAGCTAGGGATTTCAAGGTGAAAGATTCGTTGGTTATGCTTAAGAACACAATCAAGTGGAGAAACGAGTTCAAGATTGATGAATTGGTCGAGGAAGAGCTTGTTGATGATCTGGACAAGGTCGTGTTCATGCACGGACACGACCGTGAAGGTCATCCAGTGTGTTATAATGTCTATGGTGAGTTTCAGAACAAGGAGCTTTATAACAAGACTTTCTCTGATGAGGAAAAGAGGAAACATTTCTTGAGGACTAGGATTCAGTTCTTGGAGAGGAGTATAAGGAAGCTCGATTTTAGCTCCGGTGGTGTTTCTACAATCTTTCAGGTTAATGATATGAAGAATTCTCCTGGATTAGGTAAGAAAGAGCTTAGATCGGCCACTAAGCAAGCTGTGGAGTTGCTTCAAGACAATTACCCTGAGTTTGTCTTTAAACAGGTACATTTAGTGTATGATAGTATTATGGAACTTGGAATAGAACTTGGTTATATTGTTTGTCTCTTTGTATAATGAGCATGTTAGACATTTTGGTTGAATGTTTTGGTGATGAATATGTCAGGCTTTTATCAATGTTCCTTGGTGGTACCTTGTGTTTTACACTGTGATTGGTCCGTTTATGACACCGCGATCAAAGAGCAAGCTTGTGTTTGCTGGTCCTTCAAGATCAGCTGAAACCCTTTTCAAGTATGTTTCGAAATGTTTTCATTGATTCCGCTTTGTTTCGTTTAGTCTCTTGACTCTGTTTTAATAATTTGGATTGTAGATACATATCGCCCGAGCAAGTTCCTGTACAATACGGAGGATTGAGTGTAGATCCTTGCGACTGTAATCCAGATTTCTCCTTGGATGATGCAGCTTCGGAGATCACTGTTAAGCCCGGAACAAAGCAAACTGTTGAGATCATAATCTATGAGGTTAGTGCATTTACACCTTTTTAACTCGTTATTACGGTAGTAACCAGTTCTCAAAACATTAAACAGTTGAAAGATAGGGACCAAGTTTTTAGAGTCATGATGCTTGTTACAACTCTATTAAGCTTAGATTGTTGAAAAGATGACTTGAGTTTTTTTGTTGGTTCAGAAATGTGAGATTGTGTGGGAGATAAGGGTGATTGGATGGGAAGTGAGCTACAAGGCAGAGTTTGCGCCGGAGGAGAAAGATGCATATACAGTGGTTATACAGAAACCAAGGAAGATGAAACCATCCGATGAACCGGTGTTAACCCAAAGCTTCAAAGTGAATGAGCTTGGTAAGGTTTTACTTACCGTAGACAATCCAACCTCTAAGAAGAAGAAGCTCGTTTACAGGTTCAATGTCAAACCTCTCTGATTCTAAAAACAAATGAAAATCTTTCCAAAAACTTTTTTACATTTACAAGAAGAAAAAAAATGGTTTATCGACTTTATTATGTCTTTTA